CATTTCGAGAAGGACGTATTTGTATGAGGTAGATTGTAAGTTCAAGCTTTGTACTAGTGTCTGTACGAACACTTTTCACAATTCAATCGCACTGATTCTCCATATCGAATCTGTAGTTTTATTAACAGTTAGGGATGTCTAAATGTCACAATAAACCAGAATGGACCCAAGTTTTTTCTTCTAATTTGCATTACTCACGGCTTTTGTTGTAGCATCTTTAACCAACTCATATTAACACATATACAGGAACACAGAAACTCAGCTGGACTTTCAATAAGGCAATATTAGACTAACAACAATTTTATTGAAGATTTATACGGTCACCAATCTCCATTTGGCTGCTTTATCATTTAAAAACAAACACACAATAAGAATATGAAATTTACTTGTCCAAAAATGAATACTGCAATAAATCTAACCTCCTTGATAGACCCGTGACTTCGTGGAACTGCGAGAAATATCGCTGAAGAACCGATGTCAAGTAACTAGCCTTTCCCTCCTTACACGTGGGAGGAGTCCAAATGAAAGGATATGGGACCGAGCGGGCTTTTTAAGGTATCTAGAGTCGATCAGGATATCTAGACGCCCTGATTTATTGTGGTATTAACTTTAGACAGGGAGTCTGATAAACGGATCAACGTACGTGCAGGCTAGACGAGATTCTAAGGCGAACACTCCTGAATTCTCCTTTCTTTATAGACCGGGCCTATGATGTCCGTAAGTTATCGTTGTCTGAGAATTACGTTTTATAAGGATTTCGTATTAATATATGTAGTGCGGCTGAAGTTGTATTCAAGTGTAACACGTCTGAACTATCTTTTGTGTGTCTATTTTCATGGGTTGCTGATGTTAGCGTGAAAGATTTATTACGGACCTTTTTCCTTAATGGAGTTGTTTCGTAATACATTCGTCATAAAAATACGTGACGGGATCGAAAGCTTTAGTGGCCTCTAGACTGACAATACTAAGTATATTCCACTAATATTAGGGTACTTGTGATAAAGCGTTGAGTGATGTAACCGCGGGTAGTTATCCCATATTTTTTTCAGAATTCAAAAGCGGAGACAAGCACAAGATATCTCTCAGATTATATGAATATGCAGTTATACAATAAGACTCCGATGGAAAGGTTTACAGCGATACTCATAACGAAATTCGGTCGTGACACCAATTCTACCAAATCAAAACATCATTATGCAGACACGCCCACACACACACACACACACACACACACACACACACACACACACACACACACACACACACACACACACGCACACACACACACACACACACACACACACACACACACACACACACACACACACACACAAACGCACACATATATATTGACTCAGTCCCATCATTAACATGACTAGCCACGCCTCCAGAAGCAAGAAGTACGGCGTCCCCTATGGATGGAAAGAGATAACCTTCCTTTTTTTTCAACAGGGAATAACTAAACGCACTGTGTTATTTAAACATACATAAACGATTCATAAACTCTCTCTCTCTCTCTCTCTCTCTCTCTCTCTCTCTCTCTCTCTCTCTCTCTCTCTCTCTCTCTCTCTCTCTCTCTCTCTCTCTAACTCTCTCTCTCTCTCTCACTCTCTCTCTCTCTCTCACTCTCTCTCTCTCTCTCTCTCTCTCTCTCTCTCTCTCTCTCTCTCTCTCTCTCTCTCTCTCTCTCTCTCTCTCTCTCTCTCTCTCCCTTTCTGTGTGTGTGTGTGTGGGTGGGTGTGGGTGTGGGTGTGTGTTTGCGTGGGTGTGTACGTAGGTGTGTGCATGTATCTGTGTGTGTATGAGTTTCTTATGGATGTGACTCGGCGCTGTTATAAATATTATTACTTATAAAAATGTCATCAGAAGTTCTCAAAGAATATTTTCATAATTACAACTAATATGACAATTTTAATACAGATAATAGACATTGCTAGAGTACCATATCGAATTTAGGATATATACATATTTCATTGTTATCATTGTATAGTTATTATCACTTTTGTTATATCGTGTGCTATTACTTGGGCACGATTCGTTTGTTGTGAAAATCTTGGGTATCTGTGCATGTGCAATTTTGGTATGGAATGTATTTTGCATTTTTGTGGTTTCATTTGTCGTGTTTCTTCGTCTCTCTTTGCGCCTGCTTTCCTTTGATGTTTATCTATTGATTGTCATTTTTCCCTACTAGCCATCTTTATTCCCACTCTTCTCCCTCTTTTCTTGGCTTCCGTGGCTAGAACAACTGAGGAAGCGGGTGGCGATGGCGTTCTAGTTCTGTTTCAAAGAACTGTTCTCACGTGAGCGGCTTCTGTTCATCTGACAATGCATTTATGGCTGCAGGTCGCGGTAACACAGATGGAGTGCCTAGAGAGTGCCATGTCCTAGGCGGGAACTAGTCACTGCTGTGTGGTGCCATGGTAGCGTTCTCGTCTAGCAATGTTGCTAACCTGCGTTTAAAGCCAGGTCATTCCATCCACACAATGTGTAACTTAGAAGCAGTATTAAACAGACAACCACACCAAACATAAGAATAACCGTTGTAAAAAAGGGAATTAACTAAATCATCACTATTATTATTATCATTAGAGACCAACGCTCAGGTTCTGTTCCGGTCGTCGCCACTCCCTTCTCTTGACCTGCCCTATTTCCTGCCATTTCAGGGGTTCCGGTGTAGAGTGAGAGTGTTCAGTTTGGATAGCCTTGGCTAATACATTTTCTTGACTTTATTTTTTCATTGCCGGCATCCATCTACCTCTCTTTACACAGAAACGACACTTTTCAGTATGTGTACATTCAATAATTATTGTCATTTCATTATTATATCCATTATATTGCATCACTATGAATAGAAATATCATTATGATGATTACTAATGACGTCAGATTGATAGCAACATATGTGTATTTTGGGTTTTAACCTTGTTGTGTAATATCTGGTTTATTTAGTGCCATAATCGTGTGTGTATCTTTACATCTATTGCTACTATATCCTTGGCTTATTGTTATTTTCATTAGATTATTGACTTGGCCTTGGCGATAGGCTTACGGAGGTTTTGCCCCGTATCAATTCTATCCTCATGATAACCATTTCATTAAACATTATTATTCCTGCCATGGTGCATACACACACACACACACACATACACACTCACACGCACGCACGCACGCGCGCACTTTCCTGGCCACTCGCAGTCACCGAACCTTGAATATCAAAACAAAACTTAATGGCCGCCTGTGACGTCGCTATCTTATCCAAAGGTTAACACGTGGTATTTGCTCTTGAATTTCTTGTACCCGAGGCAGCCTGTGCATCAGAACAATGACCCGAAAGTCCATTGATAAAAACAATGTTGAGATAAAATTACAGTAAAAGCAAGAGCAAGTGAAATAAAAATTGTTTAGTGAATGGAAGCAGGAAAAAAATCGCGGTTAAAGATCTGTCTTATCGGTCATAAAGACGAAAAGATTACATAAATCAAAATTATATTCATATGTATCATATATATCAGTGTCTGTATTTATATCTGTATCTGTAGTCATATCCATATATGTATTTATATATATATATCGATGTATCTATAAACAGTAAGAAATTATCAAATATACATTTCTTCTTATTTATTCTGTCGTCAAACGGAGCATATTATGTTCAGTAGAAGTGAGTTTTGGATGAGATTTGGCAACGTTATTATGTAACTTATCTCTGTATTTTATAATTTAGTAGCCGATAAAATGACTATTACTTCCAAGACACTAATGTACTTTATGGAAAACAAACGTTAAACATTTGTGTTATCTGCCATAGAGCTCTTGGCAATGGCTATTAAAAAAAAACTGTAGATATTCAGTTGATGTTGCAGCAACGGTGAATATTTTATTCATTTGGTATAAACATTTGTTTTACGAGGTGAAAATGTCTTTTAAAAAATATTTTCAGTGATATAGCAGCTGGTAAATAATTAAGTATTCATTACATTTAAGACGCTCCTAATAGCTTGTGAATATGTTCTTTTTTATTTTTATTTTTTTGGCATGATTCTGTCTTGCTTTGTTATTAAAAGTAATATTACTGATTCAAAGGAGCGATTTAACAGTTTATTAACTGAAGTAGTTTTTTTATTCAAAATGTTTTGAAGAATTAAGGACCTTTAAGGAGGTTTAAGGTTGACTGGAAACACTTAAGTTGTTGATCAGAAAGATTTTATTTGGCGTAAGCACATCTAATTCCTCGGTGAATTAGCTGCACTCGTTTTATAACTTATGTATAGATACTACGTACAAACATGTACACATTACAATACAGAGGTAATGCCCGACGAGCAGGCCTAGTCAGCCTTTGTCAGCTTCTTTAGTACTCCAAAAGTCTAATTATCTACACGTCTCCTTCCACATATCACAATATAGAATGTTGACCTGGCCTACCTCTTGACCTAGCATGCAGGCGAGGGCCAACCTGACCAGCGAATCACACAGGGTCATTTATCTACAGTGTATGGCATCATAAATACAGAAAGATGAGCAATGAGTGACGGCTCGGCATCTCGGCCAGTCGGATATTTACAGCAGATGACCCCCGTCCCAACACCACCACTGCAATACTCAGCTTCACGCGACACATCATCCACGTCTTCGTGAATAAAATAATCACCACTGTATTTTAGTTTATTTTTTTTATTTTTTATTTTTTTATTTTTTTGCTAAATCATGTATACGTTAGACATCGTCTTCAGATCCGATTCACAACTAAATCTTCATCAGTATCGGATTCATGGAGAATCCTCGTCAAATATCAATGAATGTTTTTTTTTCTTTTTTTGTCAAATCATATTTTATGAAACACGTCTCTGTCGTGAGCGTCTGATCACGACTGTATATGCATGTATGATTTTGTTTCTGTTTCTGAGTGTCGGCTGTGGCGCAGGAGGGGGCGGGTGACTTGATTATTTACACACGCTATTATAGCGCAGAACGCCATCACGAGGCGCGATCATGAGTTAGGATGAATGAATCCGTGGAACATGATGAATCCATTGCTTGGTATGAGTCCATGGTGAGGAAGGGGTCGTGACCCCGGATGGGAGGGAGTCACCTTACTCCTCGGCCTCATATGATGCCTTCCACATGTCAGCCAAACACACGGACGAGTGGAAGCGGTAGAACAGCGCGAGTGGCAACGTCAAGTGTGAAAGTAAAGTCCACAGCTCCTGGAAAGAGGAAGGAGGATCTTGTTAGTTATAGTGTTTAACTAGTTATGTACACTGTTCTGGAGTTCGTTCATAATATTAGCTTCCACTAAAAAACTTTTTTTTTATATATATATGGCATACAGGTAATTAGAAAAAAGCATTGAACTCCGACTCACCTTGCCGTAGAAGTCATACATGTTGGAATTGCCTTCTTCGCTCTTGATCTCGAAGGTCTGCAGCAGCCACATGGCCACGTTGGTGACGACCAGGTAGGTGATGACCTCGCGGCCGGGCTTCTTGTGCTGAATCTCCAGGGAGTTGGAGCAACGTCTCAAGCCGTCACAGATGAGCGTTGTCTGGAGGATCACTTGCGAAACCTGGAGGACTGACACTGATACAAACAGGAAGTCCTTGTTGTTGATGGAAGGCACCATGCTGAGGAAGGCGTAAAGGAAGATGCACGGCAGGCACACGTACAGCAGGATGTTGTCCACCGAGCTGATGGCGTGCTTCATCACGTCCAAGACGCGTATGGAGTTGTACGCGATGGCTGCCGTGATCAGCATGCACGACAAGAGGATCACTTCGCTGATGCCGTTCACATACTTGCCGAGCATCTTGCTCTCTTCTGACGACGACAGGATGAAGAAGAGGATGATGGAGATGACTGTGGCCACGGTCATGAGGAGACCCGCGAACAGACCGCGGTTGGAAGCGTGGCAGTCAACGTAGATAATGAGGTTGGAAGTCAAGGTCTTGCTGTTGTCCTCTTCGTATGTGACCTCGACGGAGGGGATGTGGGTGTGGCGGTCGGTCTTGCCGATGTTCTCCCACAGGAGAATCCACAACCCCACCATGAGGATGTTGAACTCAATGCTGAAGGGGTAGAGGTAGGGCGTCGTGTAGTTGATCATGTCAGAGAGGTTGGTGTCCTTCTCGCAGCCGTAGTTAATAGACCACGCCGAGGAGGACGCGGAGAGTTTGGTGCCGGAAAAGTGGTGCGAGTCATCGTCATCTACTTCGTCAGAGTCGTCGTCGTAGCCTGAGCCGTAGAGAGCGGCTGTAGAGGATCCGTCAGTGCTGTAGTTGTCCTTGTTGGCGTAGCTCTTCTTCATGAAGATGGCTTGAAGAGTCTCTTGGAGGATGGTGTAGATCCAGTAACAGAGAGAGGCACCGATGCAGTGCATGAGTCCAAATCGTGAAAGGACCTTGCGACGGTTGATGATCAGCTGTAAAAGAAAGAAAATAAACGTTACTTTTATTGTGCCAATATGGTACACGTCGCCCTAGAAATTACACGTAATCTGGAATATATTTTTGTCAGATTGAACAATTTCCTTGAATTCTTTTACTTACATTGGAGTACTTGAAGATGAAGAACAGCTGGTAAAAGGCGTATACAGGTTGTAGCACAGACATTACAACGTCAGTAGTACAGGTGCAATCGTCGAAGGCGGGATCGTCTTCAGTGAGGTACAAGATCTTCTGGCCAAGGTTCAGGCCGGTGTGGATCAGGTAACCAAAACAGAAAACTGTTGGGGAAAATTGCAATCGTAAGTCTTATGCAGACATGTTGCATGTGATTACCATTAAACAAAATCATCATAATTTCAAGCTAATATATTACAGAAACATATTTCGTATTTACCTGTAGCCCCGATCTTCAGGTAGAGAGATCCACCGTGTCTTCCGGACGTGAAACCATAGTGCTGAGGAATGGTTCTCCTTGGTTCCGGCAGGTTGATGCGCAGCTGGTATTGGCCGTCGCCAGTTGGCTCCAGCTGCACCTGCTCGCTTTTGTCCGTCTGCTTCGCTTTCGCTTCTTCTAGAGCCCGAGAAATTTGGTTGACATAGCGACGGACATCCACATGAACGTAGAACAGCCAAAGTAGTTGGGCCACGATGAGAAACACGTTGAAACCTTCTGCCATGGCGGAGTCATGGCCACTGAACGTGTCGGCCAGGTAGATCACGACGCCGAGCATAACCAAGAAGACGGCGTAGATGACGCTCAAGTTTTCGCTCAGCGTGTGAGTGAACCATTCGGACTTTTTCTCTGGTTCAGTGGGTTGGGGCTCTTCGGTGTCAGGGTGTTCAGGCTGGGGTGCCGCGTCTATGAGACCCGATGGAGTACCGCTGCTGTGTGCCTGGTGTTGCTCGGGCACTTTGTAGCTCACGCCCGCCGCTGAGGCCTGGGAGCCTATGGGCGGGTTGGCGTAGCCGTGACTTGCACCGTAGTTGACTTCGCTGTAGATGGACTGCGTGTCAGAGTGGAGGTTGGGGTACAGGTGGGTGGTCACTGGCTGGTTCTGGTTGAGGGACACCATAGATACGGAGCGTGTCCCTGCGGCAGTCGGGGGTGCCGTTGGGAGGGTCATGGTGGTTGGCAAGGCGCCCTGCAGGTTCAGTTGCAACACCATGCTGTTTCTTCGCTGCCTTGACGGGGCCACCATCCCGACGGTCGAGGTGTTGGAAGTCATACTGGGGTCCGTCCCAGAGCGACTCAGAGGGGGAGGAGAGCCCACGGGGAGCACCAAAGTCGTGGGCTCTGTATGCACGAACCCGGGGTTGTTCATGCCACTTCCTCCAACAGACTTCCGAGTAGCCTGTGGAGATTGCAGGTCGTCGATACTCTGTGGATAAACGAAGAAAATTGTTATGAATGAAGGCAAAAATACCTGCCATATTTCACCGTCATTCTACCAGCATCATGGAGCACTGATTTCAACATGTTTTACTCACCTCGCAATCAGAGTCCGACTGATAATATTTAATATCCTGCTCCTGGTTTTCGTTCGTTTGGCGGCGTTCGGCGAGGTCGTCAATCGATTCAGAGGTTGAATTGTGGATCACCTCGGGCGTGGAGACGTCTCTTCCGATGACGCCAGACACAGGCGCGGCCCAGGAGGAATACTCGGACTGTACTCCGGAGTCCGAGCCGCTATACAAGCCCTCAGACACTGTGGGGACAAGACAGCATGAGGAAGAAGCCCGGAGATAAACATATTGATCCCCTCCAATATATTCTCAAGTATTCTTTAATAATAATGAAGATAACAACAACAATAATAGTACTGATATTAAAAAATATATCAATAGTAACAATAGCAATAATAACAACAACAATAATAACAATTATAATTTAAAAGGCAATCTGCATAAACGAAATCCGGGCAACTTACAGTGTGTCTGACCGGGGGCGAAGCTCAAGATGAACTCAGGATGAGGTCTGTCCGCGTGGTCGGGATTCGCGCCGCCTGTAATGGCGTGTGCGGCGGCAACGTGCGTTATGGCACTTCCGAGATGCTGCAGCAACTCTGGCGGCGCGCTCACCTTCCTCCGACGGTGCGGGTGCTGGGAGGGGAGTCCGTGAGAAACTCGGCGACGGTGCTGGATCGGCGTGACAAGGGCGCTGCCACTCGCCTCGCTCTCACTGCGGGGGAAGAGACACGTGGTTAGGGCGGCCGCTTGCTTAAGTTGGCAACGGGGGCAGTGTTGACAATGGTATTGATGATAATAATGACGATGATAAAAATAATAGTAATATTAAGAGTAAAAAATAATGGTGAACAATAATTATAGCAACTTATTTTTATTATTCTCATTATCATTAACATCATTATCGTTAATACCATTATTACTTTCACAATCACTATTATCATTACGATAATAATAATAATAATAAAAATATTCTATATTTAAAAGTGGATGATTATCTTATCTCGTTTGGCAGGATTATACCATCCAATGGCGACCAAGAGTGACAAATAATGAGAACGTTTTACACCTTGTTGAAAAAAAAATTCAGGAACGTATTCATTTTCTCAGAAGGAAGTAAAATTCGGTGAGTTGAGGTAAACTACGAAAAAAGAAGAAGAGAAAAAGCTAAAGGTCAGACCCACTCATTATCTTGTGGATTGAGACCTATTTAAATGTCTCTGTTCTAACTAAAAGAACGTGTAAGTTACATAACACTGTAATGTTATAGTGTAGAGCACAATAGAGCAGAATAGAGATAGTGGATTGTGTATAGCTTTGCAATAAAGTGCATGTTTTCAATGAATAACGCGAGAAAATAATTGAGTATCCAGTGAATACCATGTGCAAACTATAAAAAAATATGATCATTTGTAATTCAGCGAGTGCCAATAGCATGTTAGAATAGCCCGAAAAAATCAAACAAAAACGAGTTTTATGTACATTATTAAAGGTTTTGCAATCGTCTGGCATTCTGGAACTCTCCGCAGACAGGTATGTTCAGATAGCATTAGCAGCCACCCACGACAAAAGATCAACTGCCTACTATTTATGGACGGACCCAAAAGCCCAGTAACCTGTCGTGTATCGGCAAGTCCTCGAAACTGTATAATGATTATTTCCCTCTCGCCTAAATGTCACGGCCACATTCTGCGGCCTCCACAAAGTAGCACCTTCTCCTCCCTCGTTTCTCTCTTTCTCTCTATCTTTCTCCCTATTTCTTCATCTCTCTCTTTCTTCCTCTCTGCCCCTCCCTTTCTTTCTCTCTTTTCCTTTCCCCCTCCCTCCCTTTCTTCCTCTCCCTCTCTATCTCTTCATCTCCCTCCCTGCTAGACCGGCAGCGAGGGGCCTCCGATAGGCCTCCCTCTCACAGCTTGACCTTTCAACGACATCTAATTAGTTTCTGTGATTATAAACTGGTTTAGATTTTTTTTTGTTTATTTCTTAGCTTTACTTTTTTATTTGGTGATTATTTTACTTCCTCTTATAATGCGACAATTATTCATAATCTTAATTGCACTAATACTGTGATGGACATTTGTATATCTAAAATAATTTTTATATATGTTTGAAATACTTAAATTCTGGAGCATGCAGGAAATGGTATGTCAGAATGTACCATGTGTAGGTAATCTTTAAATAGACGCAGTCCACAAATACCTGGGTTCTGTTAAGGTTAAGGGTGAGTGAACCGCATGTTTCTACGCACACAATAAAGCAATTACGAGCCAGGGGCTGGCCGAGCACTGCCGCCTTCTCCTCAAACATACAGTCCACTCGTACTCCACTATTCATACAGTCTTTCGTAATGTTAAATACCTCTCGCCATGCCCGACATATGAATAGCGAGAGCCAAAGTAGGGTCACATTTACACCAAGGTTATACCAGGTGACTAATTGCAGCTGGCATCTCGCCCTTGTCAGCTAAGCGGCAGCGGGAACAGGATAACAAGGTCGAACTGACAGAGGCAGATATAAAAAAGACGTTTTTTTTATTTCTAAAGTTCTACTCCTCCCTCACCCGACCCTAGACTGCGGGAAGCGACACAAATGTCAACGCCATCAACAGCTGGGAATTTAGGGTATGCAATTCGTACTATCACGCTGTTTGAAAAGACAAATTACATGGACCACTACAAGTCCACTTCCTTCGTATGGAAGACTATCCCTTATCATGGCAGGGAGAATGTAAGGATGATAATACTACATACATACATCTACTTGACAGATTCTCTCTCCGCCTTCCGCCACACAGAATGCCGCTCTATCGAAGAAAAAAAAGAAAAAAAAAGAAAACTATTTCATTCCGCGATACCGCAAGGCTGCTGCTACCTGCCGTTGCCATTCAGCTACGAGGTGAAAAAGGTATATTAGAAAATTCAATGTAGCGCGCATGAAGGTCATATTAGCGGTGAGTACGCGACACTTCCATTAACGTAATGTATATGTGATGAGTCAGTGTCTGGGGCGTTCTCAGGGCCAACAGTCCTGGAAGTGTAGGAGGGAGAAATATAATGGGGGAGCATATTCAGGAAGGCGTTGATCTTGAGGCTGTTTGGGGGATGGCTGGATGGCTGGATGAGTGGAAGTATGGATGAGTGGATGGATGGATGAGTGGATGGATGGATGAGTGGATGGATGGATGGATACTTTATTGTTATAAAATGGAATTTTTTTTTACTTTTGTTTGTCATATACATTTAAAATGATGAGAGAGAGAGAGAGAGAGAGAGAGAGAGAGAGAGAGAGAGAGAGAGAGAGAGAGAGAGAGAGAGAGAGAGAGAGAGAAAGATAAACAAAAAGGCATACGAGAAACTGGTTCAAGAATGCCACAACCGGCAAGCAGAGTGGTGGAAGGGATGGCTTAAGACCGAAACACATAAATCCCAAACTTCCTTAAAATCCCCCCTCTCCTCTAGTGTTGTTACTGATCACGTGACCTTCGCGATATCCCATTTCCTCAAAGAGAATAAAAAGAAGATAGAAAAAAACATATATGAAGCTGGAGCTGCAGCAGGGGCCTAAAAAAAAAGCGTCACCCCAGCCTAAATTTGACCTTTACTTCAGCAGCGGCGAGTCCTGTTCCAAAGTGAATCGTGCGGCGTCCAGCGAGCGGCGCCAAAGAACCGAGCGAAATTTTGGTAAACAGGTCGCGCGCGCGAGAGAGAGAGAGACGTTCGGGGCGACCCTAAGAGAGACTCCAGGTTGTTGCTGATTCTCGAGGGCGATGTCGTCCCTTAGTTACTGTCATCCTCTGGCCGGTTCTCAGTTCGGGCTTCCTCTTGAAATGCGTAAAGGCTTATTAATACTGTGCGAGTTGGCTAAAATAAGCACTATATGGAACAGTTATTGTTCGTTGCCAGCTGTCACTTGCCAGCTACCACACCCTGTCTTGACAAAAACTTGAAGGGCTGCAACCATACCGTCGACCATAGTGCTGGCTGCCTGCCATTGTCACCTTTCTGTTTATTTGATTTTTGTACAAACGTGAAAAATCGCTGAAGTCGGCTTACTAATATATGGTTATTATTTATTTTACTACTTCAGGTAAGTGGCACTGCCGGTTTCAAACTTCAAGAGCAAGAGTGAGGGAAAAAACGATCTCTTGATGGCAACAGTACATCGCCAAACCTGATCAATTTGAGTCGGGAACTTCCCCGAGTCAGTTTTTCGGCATCGCTTTATAAGAAAAAAAGAGAAAAAAGAAAAACTTAATTGCATTGTGAGTGGCTCAAACAAGACTCATATTGCCATGGTCCTCGTCCACCCACGTCGACGAATCTGAGATCAAAATAACCCACCGACGTCTTTGAAAAGAGTTACCCTTCTAATAATAAATTTGATAAAAAATGAAATCAAGCTTCATCTACCGTGTGATTTACAAGTAGAATTAGATGTAGAAGGCAACGAATAACGCAAATTTCTCCCTCGTGTCTTTCTCCCCTTGGCTTTTATTCTCCCCCGTGGCTTCACTCGATCTCCCTCCGCCGGTCCCTGGAAGGTCCCCTCTCCCTCCCCTCTACATACATGATATGCGGAAGAAGAGAAGGAAACGGGAACTTAGACAAGTATTATTGCGAAGACGAAAGAGAAGGAGAATAAAAACAAAAAGTGGCAGAACTGAGAAGAAGGAAGAGAAGGCGGTGGAGGTGGAGGAGAGGGGGAGGGAGGGGAGAAGAAGGAGGGAGGGGAGGAGAAGGAGTCAGGGAAGCTGACCACCAGCAAAAGGTCACACACGCAACGAGCCCGGCCACCGAGGAGCCGGATGTGGAACGCAATTTGACGTTACAAGAGCGGATGTTCCTGGATTGGAGATGCACGTCTGCTGTTTCTTCCGTGACGTGGAAGGCGAAGACGGCGAGAGTCGTGCCATATAACCCCGGGTCTTCGGCGCTGACATTTTCTTCTGGCGCCTCGTATGGTTTCCGTTTCTCGTTTACATTAGGGGAGTGCGTGGTGAGTCCGTGCTCATGGATACTTGATCAGGGTTTACGCAAGAAAAAAGTTGTTCGTCCGCAATAAGACATAAGAAATACAAGTCACGATATTTATTTACAGTTAAATCTTTATTGTCTATTTTGTCGGTAGGTTTCACCAAGAAAATTATTTATTTTATAAAGAGACTCAGAATTTAAGCTAATTTTTGAAGTAATAGAATTCCCGACGACGAGGGAAGGGAAGGTAACTACCCTAACGTATCAGCTGGAGTATGTAAACACAGGTCACGTGGTCGGCGTGTGAACCTCGAGCACACGAATGCTCTTCCTCATTTCGCATCTATTGTCTGCATAAGTATTAATATCTATTTTTCTAACTCGCATTAAGTACTCTTGTTTACGACCTAGTCAGTTTGTATAAAAATAACGCTCGACACATGAACGCCCGAGGCTAGTGAACGGGTTTTCGATTTCTCAATTAGTCTTTTGAGTTTACTAAATCCCTGAGCAAGAGCAAACAATGAAGAATGTACTTACAACTCACCTAATACTGTTGAGGACTAGCCGGATAGGGATGCTAATTGACGACATAGTATATCCAATAAAGTTCGTGCTAAGGTGTTATTGTGTATCAGACTTTTAATCGGGCTTTTGGAGAAGCATTACCGATCACAATCGTGGTAACACCATATTCACCACACAAACACTATAACATCCACTGGTCACTCTGCTCGCTCTCTTTCAAACGGCACTATTGCCGTGTTAGTGGCAACAGTTTCCACACACAAACACTAGTTACTAATTACCGATAAATAGCCGAGCGAGTCCTCCGATCACCATAAATAATCCAGGATCCGAGTTATCACAGTAATCCTTGTGTAGCGTAATTCCTTCCTGGCTCGCTAAGACTCGGTTCTGGAACTCCGCCGCAGCTGCTTGCGTGCCCTCCGAGGCTTCCAGACCAAGTGAGGGGCCGAGTGTCCAGCGCTCAACGGCAGAGTCTTTCGTCCTTGGCGGAGGATGGCTGTCTTGTGAAGGAGGCGGCGGTGCGTTGGGAGTAGTTACGGCCCAGACCCCGCCCCTGTCTGCTCAGGGGAGTCCCCGCGCGGATCGAGCCGCTCCCTGGAATCCCGGCTAACAAAGATCGTTCTTGCACAAGATCTGGAATTTGTAGAAACAACTACGGACGCTAAGCTTTTTCCTTCCATTTTTTCCGCCGGATTCTGGGCAACACCTGCGCCGAGCGGGAGAGCGGCCGATGCACTTCACACGTGACCATAAAGTAATTAGGACCTCAGCGACGTAAAGAAAGCCGATTTTAGGAGCCGCAATTTAGGCGCTAGGCATAAGGCTAATCAGATGACCATAGGCTTCTCTTTTCTCCCTGCGGTTTTGTGTAATAAAGTTTAAAAACTCTGGAGGTCGAAACTCTTAGAACAGTGTTACGTCATGTAACAAAATTCATTTCATGACTTACGATATTTCAGTATAGTAGTTGTGTGCAATATCCTAGTAGCAATTCTTATCCCTTTACGTCATCAAGTTCAAAGAAGTTTAGAAGGACGTCTGAGATACTTTACAATTCAGAAGCTGTTTGCCGATAAGTTTTTTTCGTCTTTCTCTTTCTATCACGCATTAAAAACGTGTCTTCTTATGTTCAGCAATATCCTTTACTCTGAGCGGAAGCGAATGATACTTACTTTTATCTTTTTTTGCAGGGGATCTAATCCTTTTCAGCTCGGGCAAACTGAATCTGTTTTGTCTAGAATAACTTATATCCCTTATTTTCAGCAGCCCACGGGACCGGCAACAAGACCGTCTGGATTGACAGAAGATGCCCACGTTCAGTGCACGTGAACTGAAGGGTAGAGGCCGGACAGAGGGAAAGCCTCGTCGGTTCCTCTTCTTTCTTTGTGACACGAACGACTCAAGTCACAAAGAGGAATGTCATGTCCAAGGTGATATACCCCTGCATTGTCCAGGGGCAAGAAGGAAGCAATTGAAAAAAAAAAGCGAAGAACACACACAGAGGGAGAACAGGATCCTAGGTGAGAGCAAACCAGGATCTCGAGCAACACAGCCCCCAAATATTTAACATCTATTCACACTAAATGTTGCTTCATGCTTCACTTACTCGTCTCTTCCATGCCCTGTCGCGCGCCTTATACATATATAGCACCAGCTTAGGATGAGAAAGGAAATCTTGGAGAGGATGTGTTAGGATAAACGAAAGAAGGACGAACAAAAGGAGGATGATACAAGAGGAGATGCAGAGAGAGGAAAACAAGGCAAGAGGAAAAGAAATATTACATGAAGGCAGAGAAAAAAAATACGAAGAGAGAAAGGAAGAAATGTATTATAGGGGTACAACGAGAGATATTACGAAAGAGACAAGAGAGAGAAGGAAAGAGGGAGTGGAGGCACAAGAACTGTGGCCTTCTTAGCATCGAACGAGACTTCCTTTGCAAGAGACCGGCTGTCACGAACTTATCAGATATATATGGAAAGACTGGCTGGCGGCTGTGACCCGCTGCGACCCTTGTTTCCAGGGTGTGTGTGTGATGTTGTGTACAAGGCTACCCCGGTTTTCCCATTAGGAAATGGGAAACAAGGCAGGTGATGCTCAAGTTGTCAATCAGGCTTTGCTTCGTCTCTAAACAAGGTGAAAGCGTATAGCGGGTGTCATTTAAGCCAATTCCACTGCTTCTAAAGGCTGAAAGTCCCTACTTCACAAAAAGGGAGGAAAAAGAGAGTTGCACCAATCGGTAGACCCCTTTACTTCCCCAACCAGCCGGCATTCCCATATATATTTTTTATTTACTATCCCCCATAAAAGCCCCATAGAGATTGTGAAATGGCGACGATGGAAAAAATCCCAGACAGTTAGCAAGTGTGCGGCTACGCATCCCGGGGAACTCCCGAGAGTAGAAGCTCCGCCCACCACCACGCCTCGCAGAGCGTCGCCACACTCGCTCGTGACACGGCGTTCGGTCTTCTTTAGGGCCCCGACTACGTGACTCCTTCTTTTTGCTCGTTTACTTTTATGCGTATGGTGAGTCATGCTTGAGTCAAGTGAGAATACCACAAACACCGATTCACGGCAGTGTTTTGACTAGCTCTTAAAGAGTATTTTTTTCAGTGATGCTGGGCTGTGTGACTGGTACTGGAATCCGTTGTCTTTTTCTTTGTCTCCTGGAAGGGCTCTGTGGTTGAATATCGTTATGCGATCATATTTATGTCTTATTGTTATTCCTTCTTTGTTTAGTTAAATTCCGACGCTTTGTAAATAATTTTCTATCCTTACAGGCTGGGAAAACAGTCATCTGAATCGTTACCCTTCGTTAGAATCTGAAAGATTTATTGTCTCTCCATAGAATAAGGGCAAAAAATGGTAGCGTGACCAAGGTTGAGGTAGCAGTGGCGCGGGTCGAGTGTTATGCCTCGAGTGGTGATGGTTATATTGGGGTCCTCGGTTGAAAAGGTCTCTCGGTGGCAGAGTAGAAAGTGGGCCCAGGGAGGCTGAGGGTGAAGTGTTCTTTTAGGGTGAAAGGCATAACGTGAGTCTGACCAACGCGAACGGACGGATGTTTACCTCTTTCTCGCAAGCGGATCTTCTGTTTCGAGCAAAATGAGACCGCCGCTATGTAAACAGGTCGTGTAAACTTGCATTGCAAATGAGAGACGACTTTTACATTCAAACTCAGCTGGTGGCGGCCGAGAACCCGAGCAGCCCCTGGCAAGATCCCGGATACTCCAGCAACCAATCACGTGCCTCCTCTCGGGCTTAGACCTGGTCGAGACGGTCTCACACCGAACCGAACCGAAGCTGCAGGTCAGAGTGAGAATAACGATGATCTCACCGACTCCGGCCGACAACAGTGTCTTTGTCGGAGCGCTTCTGTTGCCGCAATGTTGCCGTAGGCTGTAGGGTCGCGCGTGGATGACTCGCATGAGAGGAAAGCAAGAAAAAATGATAAGAAAAGAAAGGCAAACAACGAGTGTCTACGTATAAGGCAAACTGAGGAAGAGTTAATAGAGTCAGGAGGAAAGAATGTCACGTGGAGTAGAAAGCAAAGAAGGCAGTGACGACTTTCTCACGAAAAGGAGAGAAGAAATGACCAACGTGTGGTACAAGCAAACAGCAAGAAATAAAAGAGCATGACTAACAGAGAAAGATGACGCGGGATGCACGGCGAATGTGGATCAAGCAGGACAACTCGCTCTTGCATGCGAGCCAGTGGCGTTCCAACCAGCGGAGGTGGAGGTCGCGGCCATCCGACTCGCATGAGATCACATTTATTCGATTATCGCTACTTTCAGAAAGTGTATTCGAAATATATGTTCTTTTAAACTATTTTTTCGATGTGAATGAAACATGTTTTGGCACCAATGTTTGGTAAAAAAAAAATTGATAATATATTTTTTAGTAGCAGGTCAGTATAGCCGAATGAAAAAAATATATGATCAGAATTATCAGCAAGGAAATAAATCAACAATGGGGACGGCTTACATGGCTCTGGTGCGGTCGTTTGAGGAGCCCGGCATTGCAAGCGCTCCTCCTCACTACGCAAACAAGTCTCTGGCTCCCTGGACGCTTCAAGCCCTCTCTAGTCACTAACTCTGGTAAATACGGAACTCTGCGCGCTGTGGAGTCCCGCTCAGGACCTCGGGATCGGAATCTAAGGCGCGTAGTGAAATTCTGGATCCAATTCCCCATTCTTTTCCTTTAATGCTTCGACGACTGTATGAATCTCACGTCTTGGGTATACGTGGATGTTTTACTTCTTTTTATGGGCTGTGTGGATCGTGTAAGATGAAAGGTGGCGAGAGGAAACGGCAGAGAGACTTTAGATGTTAAATTTTTTCGATGGTTTGTTCATGTTTTGTATCTCCCGGGATAGAGGAACCCTTTCCTCAGTGGTCACTTTTGACACGAAGCCTAAAAAAAAACATGAAACTCTCGCCTGGGAAGATCTCAAGTGATCTCATGATGTCATTCTTGCTTCCTGTCCGGTACTTGATTATGCATGCGAGACGACGTGGCACAACACTTAGAGAAGTGAGGTACACTGGTTTCTATTTCTGAAGTATTGCGCAAAATGTTCATATTTTTAAGTCGTCATTTTTTCATTCCCCATCAAGTAAACATTACTCCTCTACTGTTAATGAGAGCCAGGAACTCCGCTACGTTCTTCCCTGTTAATGAACGCCCTAAGCCTCCTCCGCGTTCACTCCTCTTAATGAACGCCTGCAGCTTCCCTCCCCCTCTGTTCCGTAGCCCAATTCCCGCGAATCGCACCCAATTTCGGCAACAGCTGGAGGATAATGAACCCCCTGTTGCTGCTGCAGGAGAGTGGAGGCGCAGCTACCGAGGCAGAAGAAGATGGGTTTGGAATTTTTGCGTCATTATTATGTCGTGTACTGCCGAGTCACGGTTATTTTCGACGTCCCCTTAGACTCGATGTCATTCTCTCTTTTTTTCTTCTTACTAACTCGGCTTTCGTAACGTTCATGCGAGATATTCATGAACTGCACCACACAGGCTTAACACCATGATTAACTCAAAGGAGGAGCACTTATGAATTCATCTTAAAAGTAAAATGAATTCGTTTTTTTCTCAGCTTTTTTTTTTCTTCCTCTCTCTCTCTCCTCCACCTCTCCATCTCCCACTCCCTCTTCCCACACCCTCTCTCTCGTCTTCTTCCTTTCCCTCTCCTTTTCCCTCTCCTTCTCCCTCTCCCTCTCCCTCTTCCCACACCCTCTCTTTCTCCCTCTCCCTCACCCTCTCCCTCACCCTCACCCTCTCCTTTTCCCTCACCCTCTCCCTCTTCTTCTCCCTCTCCCCCTCCCCCCTTTATCTCATCTTTACTTAAGCCTTTCGTCATTCCTTTCTTTGCATCTGAGTTCACGAGATCGATTCGAGATGCCGGGACAGAAACACAAGAGGGGTTGAAAAGCGGCGAGCGGTGGGCGACGGGAACTTGCGGGACTGATTAATGACGGAGACTAATTTAGGA